ACACATTGAAGCAAAAACCGGTCTCAATTACTTTTTTAGATTGTTCCACATCCCCTTCAGGCCCAATCTCTCACCACACCCAACCACTGCTGGTGGCCTGTGGAGAGGGTCACATCGAATACCTTACGTTTGATGTCATCTCCTCTCCCATGTTATCCAAACACTGCACTCATGCAGATCGCTCCCACGGGGCTACCTCCCCATCTTGTTGAATTCGAAGACGTTCATGTCGACAGCATGTCGGTGGAAGCTCTGGGTACATTCGGTGGAGAAGCTGCGGGGTTCTGTACCAGAAGGTGAGCGGCTTGAAATTAGTTTCCTGCATTCTGCTGTTTATTGTGCATCTGTGTGCCGCTGTGCAAATTTGGTTCCATGATTCGTCGGTCAGTGTGATGTCAAGCGCGTGTTCCCATTTGGTGCGTAGTTTGAGTGAGTGGGGAGCGGTACCAACCCGAAGCTGGCTATACAGCCAGGAGATCAGGTGTCTTGTTGGGCCGTTTCCCGAGCAGGTCCTCTCGAATGGGGTTAAGGCCTTAGAGTGGGAATGACGGGTCTCCGTGGATGTCAGAAAGTGCCGTATTTGAAAGTATACCCACCAGGGGAGCGAGCCGCGTCTCGTGAGGTCTGATATCTCACTTTTGGAGAAAGTGTGGGATTTAAAAAAGTGGTGCGCTCTGATAGGAGGGTCTTGGGCACAGTAGGACGTAAAGTCCCTGGTGACACCCGGAGGAAAGTCCCTGTTGTGAAGGAGTGCTGTCTTACATTGGTGGCCGTTGGAAGGAGTGCCGTCTTACATTGGTGGCCGGTGGAAGGAGTGCCGTCTTACATTGCCGTCTTACATTGGTGGCCGTTGGAAGGAGTGTCGTCTTACATTGGTAAGACGACAATGGCACACCATTTGGTCTGGTCCAGAAAATGGTGTGAACCTACCCTAAAGGTTATAGTATATTTTCATTACAAATTCCCATTTTTAGGAAAAGTGACAGCCTATAGCATATAGTCCTTAAAACCATTGGTATATTGGTGCACACATGCTATCTTTATGGTATGGATTTAAGGCATATTTGTTATATAGTAACCCTGATGAAGGGTGGCTTCTAAAGCGCCCCCCTTAATAAAGTGGATTTCCCAAATGCTCTGACTGTTAATTGTACAATGTTTTTGCTCAATCTCAGGACTACCGCAATATTGTAGTGCTCCTCTGTCTACTTATTCTTAACATGTGCTCCAAGGCCCTAACTATGTCCCTTGTACTTGAGAGAACTGCCTACCAGAAACATCTCACACCCAATTAAGAGGTCCATTCTGAACCAGCGATCAAGCACTCCATTACTTTACCTATTAAACACCTTGTTAATCTTTGTCAGAGCTGGCACAGAGTTAATAACCTACACCCCTCCCTGGTAGGAAGAGGGGAGGTCACATGCTGGGAATTCTCAGTGTTCCCACTGAGGAAATGAGCAGCAGTGGGGCAAGGCAAAGTATCAATAGGTGGGAGCTGTCTAAACAAGAGAACATTTTTCTTTATTTGGAATGTGAAAGTGACAGATTCTCCCTGAGCAAAGTAAGGATGAGTGTTAGGTATTGGTACATTAGCTGGAATGGCTGAGGACACCTCAAACAGGAAAGGAATCTGTGAACAGCAATGTGCAGGCTCTATAGGTACCAGGAACCCCTAATGGTGGAATAGTATTTTTGTGCTGTGCGGTTCAACCGATCGGGGCTTGGGGCAACCAACCTCTAGACTGGCTGGAGTAGAGAAACATTAAAGTTCGTGATTTGGATCAGGCTAAGGAGGGCAATAGAGAAGTACAGGTGGGAAGAGCAACCAGAAGTCATGACCAGTGATAGCCATGACTGAGCTTCATACCGAGAAGCTAACACATGATCAGTAGATATCAGGGATCAGGGCACACTGGACACAAAAGGTCAGGAAAAGCAAAGTGAGCACCTAAATCATAGCAAACTGTATGATGGGAAACTTAAGCGTGGAGCAAGTTGCCCTAACTACAAAGTGAGCTTGACCAATTAGGGTATGTGCCAACTCACTCTGATTAGTGGACATACTTGGCCACACAAAGTGAATACTGTTGCTGGCATGCAGCTACAGAAGAAACATTTTCGTTGCAAGAGGGCCCACCAGGAGTGGCTGAAGTGGAGGGAAACGGAGCAAGTATGTTCCTGAAAACCAGGTGAGATACTCGCTAAGGGTTAATTACTTATAAAGGGACACAACTTTCCTCCACCAGGTGATTATAATGAACCCAGAACCTCCCATTTTAGGAATCAGTTTGCAAGGGACTTGGTGAAACAAGCAGCTATTTCTTCAGAACAGAACTAGGTAGCGATCTGGTACAACGTTTGGTAAAACCCTTGCAATGTACATTGATCACCCAGAGGGGATTTTTTTTTAAAATTTAACAGTGCCACTATATTTATCCAGTTTTTCTAGGCCTTCTGAGCACCCTGGTGTTCTCTTTCTCAAACTGCCTATACAAATACTGACTTTCTGAAAGTCAGAGCCTAGATGGGGCTCCTCCCTTTCCCTGTGTCTCATATGGTAATGACAAGGTGCCTTAGAAGGTCACTGGGGCTCCAGCATTGCATTGAGAAAAGCAAAAGGAGAGGATGAGTCTTCAAAAAAGCCAGCATATGTAAAGCCAGTTTGGGGGCCTCCTAGGCAACGTGAAAAATGGGATGCGTATTGACCCAACTCACCATAAATTTGCTTCTTATTTTGCATCACAAGGCTTACCTTGCAGATGGCGGGATTTCCATATCCTGCACTAGTGAGACTTAACAAACTCAAAGCATCAGAATGAAAGAAACAGCTATGCACTAAAAAAAAAAAATGGAAGCTCTCAGCTTGTTGGTCCCCAAATGATCAAACACACTGTTCATTCTATTCATTCCGTTCTTCTTATCAAATCTTTTTAGAATCCTAGACAATGGCATGCTGGGGCCCATTTTTAAAACAGTGTTGTACTGATATTTAGCAAATAATGAGAAGAAAAGTGGGGGTTTGGAAGCACCAGAATGACAACTCCGGACAAAAATAGTATATAAAAAATATATTTTTAATAATGAAATAAAAAAAAGAGGCTCATAGCCTATTCATAAAAGTAACCAGCTGAGTAGATAAATCCCTCTATGCTCATTCCCTACACAAAAAACCTTCCATTCACAGTATAGATGTTTATAGAGAAGACATGATTCAAATTTTGATTAGAAATTAATAAATAAACATTTTTAAAATATCATTATTAAAAATATATTTTTTATATACTATTTTTGTCCGGAGTGGTCATTCTGGTGCTTCCAAAACCCCACTTTTCTTCTCATTTTTTGGTAACTATTACCAGGGGTGTGGCACCTATTATTCAGATCCAGGTCAAAACCTCTTTTACAATTGTACTGACATTTGTACATAGAGTCCTATTGGGCTTCTTTTGGGAGCCGTACACCTTCTTACTAGTGTACTGGGGAAATGGTGAACTGGTGTTTGAAAATTTGGACTGAAAGTGTCATAAGGGGAAAATGCAGTATTTATTTTTACAAACAAAAAAGTTAGAACGATGGGACTTTTTAAAAAAAAGAGCTCCAGGAAAAATGATTATTAACCCTTGCAGTGGGGATACTCCTGCACTACAAGGATAAAGGATAACTATCGGGTTAAGGCTTTTCCCCATAGTTCTCAGGGTAATGGGAGGACACAAACTAGCGTCCTCCCGTCACCCTAGGCTCAGTATACTGAGGCACCGCAGCTGAAGCTGATCCCGACAATTGTGCCGGGATCCACCCAGCTGCGTGACTGACAGCTGGCTCTGCCTATCTAAAGGCCAGCTGTACCCGCCCCCTCCCCCGTCCGTACCGCCAGTCAGCGCTGGCGGATCGGAGCGGGGGGAATCCAGCCCCTCCCCTGTCACGGCAGAGAGCCGTGACAGGATCGAGAGGTGAGCAAATGCCGGTATGTGTACACTCACCTCCCGATCTACTGAGCCGACCTGTGACAGTCTCATTGAAGGGAAGGGTTTGGGCACAGCTGGCTCTGGCTCTAAAGAGGCAGAGCCAGCTGTCAATCAGGGAGCGGGGTTGACCCCCGGCAATATTGTTGGGATTTTTCCCGGCTGCAGCACAGTTCACACCTCAGTGTCATGTCCTTTGGACTCCTGCCACTGGGGAGCTTAGAGATTTTGTACCCCGAGTCCACTGTGACGGACTCCTACTCATGGGCAATCAAGAGATCCCAGTATTTTAAGATAATTACAAGGATACCCATTAAATCAGCAAAATCTGGATGCACAGTTGTCAAAAGGAGCATAACAAAAATGTGAAGGTCTTTACTCACTAGCCTACAATAAGTCCAGTTTCGCTATTTTTTTGCCATTCATGAGATAGTGATAAATTAATCTTGCTATCTTCTTCTTCCCGTAGAGTGGGGTAAGGGGTCAGTGGAGGAAGCAGCACTGTTTTTCATTGTTAGTCTCCAGAGGGAGTTTCATCATCAGCAGTGATTCAGCAGTTTAATGGCTTTAACTAGAGCTACATACTGAGACCATGTATTACATATGCAGAAAGATCTGTGTCCTGGATTCAAGTCCTCTCAAACCTTGCTGTACGGAAATCCTCAGCAGCTCCCCAGCACCTGACAGCAGAGCATGATGGGTATTATTATCCTATATTTATCCTTTATTTATAAAGCTCCAGCATATTATGCAGTGTGTATTTTTATTCAGCTCCATTGCAGAATTACAGATTACTCTCATACAAGATGCTGCTCCCTCGTATTTAGCTGGAGTCTTCAGTTTATCTTTTAATAATTGTATATGTTTTAAAAGAAGGAACCATTTTTTGCTAGGTTATATATTAGATGCACTTGCACACTAACTGCATTTGTTACAATTGTCTATGAGTTTTGTAAGCAATATTGCATCTGAGGGTTATTATTAGCTGAAGCAAGAAAGCACACAGGTTCGGCTGCCGTAAGGTCCCATGCTTGCTGGGGACCTCAGGGGAACCTGCTGGGCACCTTGCAGCGCCTGCCTGTTTACAACGCAAGTCCGGTACCTCCTCCTCCTTCCTGCCCCGCTCCCACCCGAACATCAATGAGGAAACCCGACACAGCAATGGTCAGACCGCACCAGTCCATAAAGCCCTGCCGCGACATGCACGCAGTCTGGGTGGCACTGCACCCGCCTGCATAGCCCTGGTGAGACCAGCACACAGCCCTGGTGAGAGCGCACAGTCATGGTGAAACCGCACAGCCCTGGTGAGATCATGCATGCAACCCTGTTGACACCGCACAGCCCTGGTAACACTGCACTGCCATGGTGAGACCCGCGCAGCCATGGTGAGACCCGCACAGCCATGTTGACACCGCACAGCCATAGTGACACTGCAGAGTCTGAGTGAGACCCTGCATGCAGCCCTGTTGACACCGCACTGCCATGGTGACACCACTCAGCCATGTTGAGACCCAGCCCTGGTGACACTGCGCAAAAATGGTGAGACCCTGCAGGCAGCCCTGGTGATACCATCCAGCCTTGGTGAACCCCGCACGCAGCCCTGGCGAGCCCTACCCGCACGCAGCCCTGGCGGTACACACCCGCACGCAGCCCTGGCGGTACACAACCGCACGCAGCCCTGGTGGGACCCGCACGCAACCCTAGCGGGACCCACCCGCACGCTGCCCTGGTGAGATCTACCCGCACGCTGCCCTGGCAGGACCCACCAGCAAGCAGCCTTGGTGAGACCCCGCACATCCTCCTGAGAGTTTGCACAACCCTGGTAAGACCCCACGCAATCTACTGAGACCCCGCACAGCCTCCTAAGACGCCACTCAGCCCTGGTGAGCATACAGAGTATGTAGCTTTATATTATTCTGCATTGCTTTATAATGGATTGCTGGGATTCGTAGTCCTCTATTCCTGGTGGTATTCTGCATTTCTATGTAATGTATTGCTGGGATCTGTAGTCCTCTATCGATGGTGGTATTCTGCATTGCTGTATAATTGCTGTATAACATATGCCTGGGATTTGTAGTCCCTCTACAGCTTGAAGTCAGTGGCAGGACTACCAGGGTTGCAGCTGCAACTGGGCCCTAGCACTCCACCACTGTCCTAAAATCATTAGTCTGCATTGTTTTTATAAAAATTGTCACATGACACTAAAAAAAGGCATTGGTAATTGGTATCGGCCAGTAGTTAAGAAAAAGTATCGGTATTTGTACTCAATCTTGAAAAAATGATATCAGTGCATCCCTAAAGTATACCTATTGTGGAGGTTAGACTCTAGACCAGAGGTGCCCATTTGGTAGATCGCGGTAGAAGAGGCTGCAGTGATCAGTCTAGCACCAGGGAAACCAGACTACCAGAATCCAGTAAGGCAGTCCTTTTGACACCCTCAGTTCTAATAGTACATTTTTGCTTCTCACTCTATTTATTCTGGGGTGCCATGCGGATTAGTGACTATAGACCTTCGCCTAGCAAGGGTTCCTTCCATGAGTACCTGGTTTAAAAGGCGACTGGCAGCCTATGTCCGGGTTTGTGGCAGTTCGAGCACACTATGGGTCTGCACTTCCCATAAGTGCTTTTTCACCCAGTTTACAGTAAGAGTGAACGTGTTGCAGCTAGCAGTCTTCTGACTCCTGGAGGGGGAGTGTTTGGGAACTGCACCCTGTAGAAAGACCTCAATGGATAAATAATGCTCCGCCAGGGCCACCAGCTGGTCTACATCTTTGGGTCATCTCTGCCCACAAACCGTTGTATGGGAGCTAGTAGGGTTGTCACAAAGTGGTCAAGAATGACACTTTCCAGGATCTGGGCTGGTGTGGTCATACATCTGTGATCTTACGTGTTTGTCCACATTAAAGTACAACTGCAGCCAAAACATTTTTTTTTTTAGTTTTGGATAGAGTGGAGAGGTATTAGAACCTCTATCAGGTTTTTATTGCTGTCTGTGGCTCCGTTAGGGAGATTTCTTCAGGGCCTACACCAGGGCCAAACATTCTTTTTCAATAGCCGCATACCCAACCTCCCGAGGTAGCAGCTTGCGGCTGATATTGGCCATCGGGTATTCGTCGTCATCACTGCCCACTTGACTAAACTGCTCCCAACACATAAGTAGAGGCATCTGTGTGGACACAAAATAATTGATTTGGGTCAGGAGCAGCTAGTACAGGTGTGGTGACTAAAGCATTCTTAAGGCGGTTGAAGGCAGCCTCGAACTCTGGGGACCACAGGACCTACCTAGGTAAGTTCTTCTTTGTCAGGTCTGTCAATGGTTTGGCTATCGAGCTGTAGTTGCGGATACATTTCCTGTAGTACCCGGCTGTCCCTAGGAATGCCATGATCCGAGTCTTCAGTTGCAGCTGCAACTGGGCCCTAGCACTCCACCACTGTCCTAAAATCATTAGTCTGCATTGTTTTTATAAAAATTGTCACATGACACTAAAAAAAGGCATTGGTAATTGGTATCGGCCAGTAGTTAAGAAAAAGTATCGGTATTTGTACTCAATCTTGAAAAAATGATATCAGTGCATCCCTAAAGTATACCTATTGTGGAGGTTAGACTCTAGACCAGAGGTGCCCATTTGGTAGATCGCGGTAGAAGAGGCTGCAGTGATCAGTCTAGCACCAGGGAAACCAGACTACCAGAATCCAGTAAGGCAGTCCTTTTGACACCCTCAGTTCTAATAGTACATTTTTGCTTCTCACTCTATTTATTCTGGGGTGCCATGCGGATTAGTGACTATAGACCTTCGCCTAGCAAGGGTTCCTTCCATGAGTACCTGGTTTAAAAGGCGACTGGCAGCCTATGTCCGGGTTTGTGGCAGTTCGAGCACACTATGGGTCTGCACTTCCCATAAGTGCTTTTTCACCCAGTTTACAGTAAGAGTGAACGTGTTGCAGCTAGCAGTCTTCTGACTCCTGGAGGGGGAGTGTTTGGGAACTGCACCCTGTAGAAAGACCTCAATGGATAAATAATGCTCCGCCAGGGCCACCAGCTGGTCTACATCTTTGGGTCATCTCTGCCCACAAACCGTTGTATGGGAGCTAGTAGGGTTGTCACAAAGTGGTCAAGAATGACACTTTCCAGGATCTGGGCTGGTGTGGTCATACATCTGTGATCTTACGTGTTTGTCCACATTAAAGTACAACTGCAGCCAAAACATTTTTTTTTTTAGTTTTGGATAGAGTGGAGAGGTATTAGAACCTCTATCAGGTTTTTATTGCTGTCTGTGGCTCCGTTAGGGAGATTTCTTCAGGGCCTACACCAGGGCCAAACATTCTTTTTCAATAGCCGCATACCCAACCTCCCGAGGTAGCAGCTTGCGGCTGATATTGGCCATCGGGTATTCGTCGTCATCACTGCCCACTTGACTAAACTGCTCCCAACACATAAGTAGAGGCATCTGTGTGGACACAAAATAATTGATTTGGGTCAGGAGCAGCTAGTACAGGTGTGGTGACTAAAGCATTCTTAAGGCGGTTGAAGGCAGCCTCGAACTCTGGGGACCACAGGACCTACCTAGGTAAGTTCTTCTTTGTCAGGTCTGTCAATGGTTTGGCTATCGAGCTGTAGTTGCGGATACATTTCCTGTAGTACCCGGCTGTCCCTAGGAATGCCATGATCCGAGTCTTCATCCGCGGGGGGGGGGGGGAAACCGTTTTTC